ATGAAGCATTTCAGTTCCTTGTCGGCACAAATTTTTAAAAATACCACTCTGCTCTACGGCCACTTCCATGACTGTATACATCAAATTAAAGTTACATGCCTCAGACAATACCAGCTCAAAAATTGTTTTGATCATACTTGGAATTAGGAGAGAAAAATTACTGCACAGCTGATCTGAAGCTGTTTTATTTCAATTAATTCAAGAGCAAATGAATTTCAACAGGAACTTACAACCAGTGGCGATATCTCCGCCACCTGGTGACATCTCGTCTGCATCGAACGAGATATCGTTATAAAAGCCTAGCGAAAAATCATTTCCGGAAATATTTAGGAAATAAAAATATCAAACTCAATCTTACTTACATCGTCTCTTTACGTCGAGGAGAGAGTCGAAATTAAGAAATGCATTGCTATATGAAATGATGAGAAGGTCACTAAACAGAACTTCTTGGAAATTTCTTCTCTTCACAGTACTTTACTATAACGTAATTACATCAAAGTAAACTAATATATAAGATATGCGTATTGCCCACGAACACATTATATCTAATAATGCATTACTCACTAAAAATCGTTGTGGCGATGTATACCAATCAAACGAGATATCGCGATGATACACCCCTCGGTCTGTGATAATTCGCTATAGGGATATATTGTGATGCTCTAAGGTGTATCGTTGTAGCGATATTTCACTGAAACGAGATATCGCAGGAAAGCCCCGATACCTCGTTGATTTATCTCTTTTAAGGAGCAACAGAATTAGCGATATATCAACGATATGTAGGCAATATCTCTGTAGAATAAAGCACTATGGTCGACGATAAATCGGAGATTTGCATTATTTTTCACGGTACCGTATATAATTTCTGGAAGAGTCGATGTAAGAAAAATCTCTAATGATGTAATACTCTTTAAAGCCGACGCCATAGTAATTCAGTTCTAACTAACTCTGGAGAAAGCCATGTCCGTATAACTAGTGCTTTGACGACACTGAAGAGGGAACGGGAAATAAATAGTGATCGAATATATATAACCACGTCTCAACGTCGTCCTGAACCGGACGATTGAAACCGGCAAAAATAAAAACGTCTCTTACGTATCTGTTTATTTTGAATCCCTAATAGTTGTATCTTACATGAAATAGAAGTCATATCCAAGACTAGAGTCAAGACTAAACATTCGTGTTCTTTCTTCAAAACTAAGGTTTAGGCATTTTGGCTGTTATCTTGGACTCCTTACCGAGCATAAGTATTCGCGAAATTGACTTTCATAGCAACCTGTATGCATGACATGTATGTTAAACTCGAGAGCATTGAAGCCTCGAATTGAAAACGGGCGGGACGTAAACCAAATCGATAACTAGCTACAGCCGTTCAAGGAGCGTGCCGTTTAATTTTAGAAAAGTTTAAAATTTAATAAACCGCTGTCCATCCTTGTTATTTGGATACAAGAATGGCTGAGCAGCCAACTAGGGCCGTTATGCATCTCGTTGGTTATTTATCATCTCCTAACCATCGCACGCTCATGGAATTATGGTTAAGTATACTTTTGAAACTAATCTCTTCGCATTTAACTACGTTCACTCCCAGATAGTTGGGACACTTCCACAGAATGACATCTAGCTTTGAGGTTCTTTCTTCCTTTAGCTGGCAGAAAAGGCGTAATTTTTGCGTTTTACATGCGATGGCGACAAGTGCGATTCACACGCTAGAGGAGTAGAGCGAAAAATTAACGCGCAGATGTTTTTGCGCTCCTCCTTTCGCGCGTGACTCGCACTTCGCTCCGCCTCGCGCGTGACTCGCACTTCGCGCCGCCTCGCGCTTCCCTCCGTTCGACCGAAAAGCGCAACTACATTTTTGCGTGTTCTGCAGCTATTCGTCCCTCTCCCCAGTTCAATGGTGTTAATTGCCAATGTTTCTATGCCATTATGTGGACCAACATTAAGAAGGTAATCAATGTTATCAACTGAGTTGTTAACGTAAATTGGCCATCGTGAAGAGTTTCAAAGCTCTTTACGGTGGGCAGTTTACGTTATCAACTTTCTTGACTGACGGCGATCGATTCATGTTAACAACTCAGTTGGTAATGCCAAACTACAACGTTGACAAGGGCAAGAGACGCAGTGGTTGTCACACTCAACTCACAGCATTCTGTCACCTACACTGTTTCCGTTTAAACTTATAAATATTAATCCTAACCATTTAAATGATCCGATGAAAATGATCCTATCGATGATTGACGTGATTGTGACTGTTGTCTGGGATAGTGACGTTATCATCAGATTACCTTCCAGAACCTCTTGCGTTGTCTGTGTTTTGCATTGCGAAAGAGAGTCATAAAGTCTTTGTGGAGTTGCAATGCGTTTTAATTTTCCAGTGAGTTTATTTCATTCAGGCGTATAAAAAGGACAATCATTAAGATTGTTGTTTTTCCTCATTTGTAGTTATATTTAGTCTCCATTTCAATTTTCGTCAGTTTTACTTGTTCTCAGTCGTGCATTTGTGCGATTATAATCGTTCAGTTATTTCATTCTTGTTGCTTAGATTATCATTTAAGTTCGTAATTTAGTTGGACGGCATCGAGCATTTGTATGATTATAAATCGTGTTAAATATACCAGAATTGAGCTTGTAGTCCAGTGATGTCCTGGTAGACAGAACTTTCAATTCGTGACGGAGAAGGTTGAGTATGAATCACATTAAATTCTTTTAATAAGATAAATTCATCGCGGTGTCTCGCGCCGTAAACTTCTTTTTATTAACAATCTTCAAGAAACTCAGCTACCATCAATTGGGCTGATTTCTGGTTAGGGTAAATTTCTTATATGTTAGATATTTTTGGTGGAGAAATACAAAGATCTAAAGGACAGAAAAATTGAATTTATGATATTTGAAAAAGCCTTTTATTGTTTTTCAAGAGGCCACCACGCGAGAGAGAGGCAAGTTTAAACTATATAAGGTGTGATTAGATCAAAGCCTTAAAACATTTAGCGGATCATCGGTTCATTAAATAGATATTATCAGAGTTGTTAAAAATATTCGCCTTCCTGCGCATACATAAGCTTTCTCAGTTTAGATCTCGAAGGTTTGTCTGTGCTTTATCCACATTCTTATATTTGATATCACCTTCGCGTCAATCGAACGTGATACGAACGTGACATCAATGAGGATGCGATAAAGCATATCAATGAGAGTGCGGATAAATCATATCAGTGAGAATACGGAGAAAGCACCGACGAACCGTCCAGGGCTAAATTTAGAAACCTTATCACTGTGCAGGAAGTCGAACATTCTAAACGATTTTGATAACTTGCCGAAAATTTCATTAAACATTATAGCGGAGTTCGCTTTATTTTCTCTCTTTTCCTTTTTTGTTGCTTTCTTAATTTATTTTCGAAAAAAACTAGTGCCCTTCAAAATTTCTCTGCCGTTTTTGTTCTAAAAAAAGGTCAGGGCTTGCCGTTGTGAAAACGCCAGCCGGTGTCACAGTATCACTCTTCATTTATTCAAGCCGGTGTAGCACGACATCAAGAGTGTTTATTTGATTTTGGCAAAACTGCTCGCGCAGTGTTTGTACCATTCCCTTTGCCAAAGCTTCTAGACCTTCCGAGCAGAGAGCACGTGGGGGCTTTTGCAGTGTGGGAAATTTCCGTAGTTTGAATGCAATAAGCTTCACGCGAAAAAACCTTATCGGCCGAGGAACCTTTGGAGAGATTTTTTTCTTACGGAATTCCGAATTACGCGGTTCCTACAGGCACTTAATTCGCGGGAGAGGGGGAGCAATTGACAGATCCGTTTGATGGCATCTTTTATCAATATCAGTAAAGAAAAAAAGGGGGTCTTCGTCTTCAGGTCTTAGTTTTCGGGGACTTCGTTGTGGGGTCTTTGTTTTCGAGGTCTATTCATTTTTAAAACTGAAGATCAACTAACTTAGCGATTACGCCATTAATATGTCAATCACGCGGTTAATCATAAAATCAAATGTAATCAATAAATTAAATTTCGAAACATGGTATGGTATATGTGTGAAGTTGTTACCTACACATTGTTCTGTATCAATTCAAGCCAATAACTCGTTTCAATGTTCGTTCTAAAAGTCATGCACACTTGTGGGTGAAAAAGAAGGAAACAAAAACGAGAGGGAAGTTCGAGAAATGGTGTGACACCGTTCATACATATATACTCTGACAAAGTACTTTGTTTCAGCTAATCATAAAGAGTGACAATCAATAATTATCATGTGTCGAAACAAGATATAATTATAACATAGCCAGCAGAGCCGCGCAATCAAATTCAGTATACGAAAGCGTGCTCAAAATCCCGATAGTGCACGTTGATAGCGTGAGCAAATCGCTTCACCAGAATTTTTTTTTCGCGCGAGCGGCCATTGTTAGCGCGGGGAAAAATAATATATTTCGCGACAATAATGGATACAAACAGAGACTCGGCCCACCAGTCCCAAAACGAAGACAATTTTCCGACCTTTTTCCTTGGGCTAGAGTTCTTAAATGAGGCAGAAAAAGAGAAAAACAACGGAAAAGGAGACTCGGCATCAACGCCGTCACGATTCATGATTACCGCGAACAGTCACTTCTGATATTGTTGTCTGTTTTTCGCGTCGGATTTGATGCACAATTCCACCGGCTATATTATAAAACAATTGGTTCATGCTTTTAGCTGTGCACTATCGAGTTATGGAGCACGTGGGAAGTTTGAAGAGCACGAAAGAAGCGTAAGAGTTGCCCGAGGCAATAGCCAAGAAGCTAGCCAAGAAGTTAGCAATAGCCAAGAAACTAGAGTTGCCCTCGGCTATTACCTCGGGCAACTCTTACGCTTCTTTCGTGCTCTCCAAACTTCCCACGTGCTCCATAACTCGATAGTGCACGCTAAAGCATGAACCAATTGTTAAATAACCACCAAGCCACAATGCAAATATCATTCCACGACTTAGTCTTAAAAGTCTATGCAAATAGTTGAGTACGCCAGAATCTCGACGATCAATAATGTGTAAGTCTGTCTGCAACAGTGTGATTGTGATCGTGTTCATTTGGAGCAATGTTGCATTTCTGTGCGTACTGTGTCCAAGCCCTTCTGGAATTCATGATGAATCGAAGTTAGCTGGGCAGATGAAACTCTGCTTGAGGAGATGTGGCCTAAGGTTTCAAGCAGATGACGCGGAATCAACATCAAGTGAAGGGGTGAGTAAGCAGTTCTCACTCTGATTTAAAGCAATGCTTATTTTAGTTCAAAGACAAACTAAAAGGCAAGGAATGTTGATAAGTCTAGAACTTTAACTCGTAATCACTAGGATTAAATATAACCGCAAGGGACGTAATTTCATAATCTCCAATTCCGAAGTCTTCTTCATCCAAAATCATTGCTAGTTCAAATTTTTCAGTAAGAATATTACATTAGGGTTTGATGACTAGCTCCACAGGACTTTTCTTTTTAAGTTACGATGTGTTTATTGAGGTTACATTTCGGTTTTTGGGCTATGAGGCTGCTTTATGTGGTGATAAAATGACTGATAAAGATAACACAGTCGATTAATCAATCTTACCGACAAACACCTTGGCCATGCCGATGATCTCTGTGATAGCTTTATGCCTTTTGCACGTAAACTACCCAGTTTCTACAACATCTTTTTAAAACTCTCCTGCCCACTGGACCTCAAAAAATTATGATATAGGACAGTTTCATTTCTAAAATTATCACTCACATGAGAGAAAGAATGTTAGGATTAAAATACCTTAAGTCCGGTTTATCAGCGGAGTTAAGCGAGCCTTTGTCCGTGAATGAAGTGTTTTTGATGTTGCTAATTTTTTTGTTTTAAGGTTTATTTTTTTTCAAAACTGTTTTCATTACCTCACACAAGTTAGATGGGATTTATTGAGTGGGTGGGCGGGGTGTGGAGTATAGATCTAGAAAATGTCGAGAAAGGAAGATTTTATGGGTGCAGCGATGATAAGAGTTTTTGGTGTTTCCTTTTGTTCAACTCCTTGAAGAATTCTATGGAGAAATTCTGCGACCACTTATGCACTGGGTGTTGCAGAAATTCTGCAACCACTCATTCACTGGGTGTAGCAGAAATTATGCAACACTCATTCACAGGGTATCGCAGAAATTCAGCAAGCACCCATACACTGAATATCACAGAAATACTGTGACCTTTCATACACTGGATGTTGCATAAATTTTGCATCTTCTCGTTCACTAAATGTTACAGAAACTCACTCAGGGCGTGATGGATACAGGAATATAACAGTCTTTCTCTAACCAGTCAATAAAAGATGCCACAAATATTCTGTCAATTAACTTTTACCAGAAATTATGTACCTTATGTACCTGCACATGGCTTAATGCCACGTGATGAAATTTGAATATTAAAATGTTAAGAAAGTAAACAATACAACATACAATCTCATTACTTTATTTTATGATTCGATACAAAAACTGAATGAAAAATATTATTAACTTAATAAAATTGAAGTTTGTTGTATAGCAAATAAGCAATCTATCCTAGCCAAAATATATTAACTAGTCACAATTTTAATCCTTTGACCCATTTTAAAAGATTTGTATATGTGATAAATAGAGAACAAATATATCATTGAAATCTTGCATTGTCTTGCAAAACACCTTGGGGAAATTAATGCTCAACCTTCTAATGAAAACCTTAAACCCTTCACTATTCAGGGGAAAACTAAATTAACAGAATCACAGATTTTAATTAATATCTCAACAAATTTTTAAAGTAGGTAATTATGCTACATATGTATCTCAGTTAAAGGGCAGAAACAAGATTCTAGGAAAAATAATCCTCTCTCTCTGTCAGCTACAACTGTTTCCAGAATAAGAAAAATCAAACCGTGCAATGTTGCCTAATAAGTCACAAACCAATGAAAGGGATAATGAACTGAAGAGCCACTCTACAAAGCCATTGTGAGGGCGCCTTCTGGTTTTGGCCGGGTTCTACATTGAAAACAACGACGGAATCCAAGAAATCTGAAATAATTCACTAATTTTTATCGAAGTGTAATTCAACCGAAGTGAATCATGCATCGCATCAATTTTCGCAACAACAAAATTGGCCTTAAACGTTCTTTTATCAAAAGTTTGTGGGTTCTACATCTCCATCGAGGACTGAAAACATACAATCCATAAATAAGAGATAGACTCAGAGATGACGATTCGATAAGCGTTTGGTTAAATTGTATTTATATCGGTGAGATCACAAACTTGTGCCTGGCAAACAAAGTCATGTTCGCTCAGACCACTGATCGTTATCTAATCGCTCTATATTTATCGTTATCCAATCGCTCGGACGAAGGGCTAACGCTCGACACGTCTGCCTTTAAACTCTTACGGTGGTCAATTTACGTTATCAACTCAGTTGATAACGCTAAATTACATTTATCGTTACGATACATTATGATTGAAGTTCGCGTTACCTGTCACACTTGCACACTTCTGACCTCTTATCAAACTTGAAATTTGAAAAGTTATCGACACTGGATTGACTGCTTGCAATACTTTGTATTCAGGTGTTTTCAACTTTACCTTCAATTTCTAATTGATTCTCTAAATCCGGAATCATTTCTTCATAAATGAGAGATCCTGCATTCAAAGAATTGTTTCAGTCATCGAAGTCAACCCACTGATCTTCATTGGGAAGTCTTCCCTTTGGTGGTGATTCGAGAATCGTGAAAATCAACATTGCTCGTAGAACTGGGATATGTTTCCGGTGTGCTTGCCATCATCCGGTGTGCTCGCCATCATCGGTTGATATGTTTTTGTTCGACGGATACAAGTTAACTCCACCCAGAGTCTGACAAGAGCGCATATCAAACAAAACTGATAAAAGGCCAATTCTTCGATTATTAGGATATTATGAGCGGATGTTGGCGGTTTGTAAAACAATAGGTTGTGTAGGCGCAAGAATTTGTATTATCATTTTTTGTTAGTGTTGGTATTTCATAGTTTCGTGTTAGGCGTTTATTTTCTCGTCTTCATTAGTGTCCTTTGTCAGTTACCAGTTTTGTACTTGTTATATTTATTTGCATATCGTATATATATTGTTCGCGCGTAATTTATTTGGTTAGTTGTCTAGTTTGCGAAAATTATCGTTACATATCTAGCTCTAGGTTTCATGTTTTCGTCTTTGGTTTGGTCACATTCGTCTTGTAAGTGTCCTTGTTTATTTCGCTTTGTCGTTTTCCAGTACTTTCACTCATACAATGTAAGTTATTTTATGATCATTCGCGTGTTTGTAATTTTGTTATTTTCAGTTACTGTACTCAACAATGTGTCAAGTTTGTTCTAGTAAAGTTTGAAATACTGACTGGCGTTTGCGGCTATAGGTTGAAGGGACTTTTGTCCCTCATAGATGATATTGCACAGTGCGCAGCTTACGAGTTCTAATCGAAATACTAACCCTTTGCTCGCCGATAAGGTGTATAGTGCACACGAATGGAGATTTCATTTCTTTAACTAGGCCTTCCATGAGCGCTAAGCCTGTGAAGGTCAGTATCGGTGCTTTTCAAAACCATAATATAATTAAATATCATAATATTTTATAATTAACCATAATAGACCATTTTACAGTTCCCGACGCCATATTGGATTAGTAACCGCGCACACATGATAACGAGGCTGGGGCTGACCCGGCGGTTCTTTCAAACAGCTGATCTGCTAACATTTCGCGTCCTAATGCACATTTTAATGCGAGTTCTCCCTTCAAAATGGTTCTTAAATACAACGATATAGAAATTTCGTCTTTAGATGACATCCAGAAACTCAAAGCAAAAGATCTCAGGGAAATTGTAAGGTCTAATTCAGAATCGACGGGCGGAATGAGAGCCGACTTAGTGATGAAAGTTTACGCTTTGCTGATGCGACATGTCTTTCCATCGAGTGGTGGAGAAAACCGAGAACTTCCTACAGATGTTCAGGACTTAAAACAAAACCAGAGCGACTTTAAATACGAAGCAACTATGGTAAGGATTTCAGCCCTTGGATGGTCAAGCGATCTCCGTAACTTACCCGAGATGAATTTCATTCACCTTTACGATTACCTCGTTGTTTCCACACGAAAGTATCGCCACATCGTGTTGGAAGGAACGCATTACAAAAAGCTGAAATCTTATCAGTTCTTCTTTGAAGATAACGTGAAAAAACTGGAGAGTAAAGTCTTTGGCAAATGTTCTCCCCTCTATGAAGAAAACGCCTTACAGAGCTATTCTCGAGTTCTCACCTACCTACGATGTGCTACGCGCAGCGTGTACGTACCTTGCTGGCCTCCTTCTCCGAGGAAAAGGAAAATGCAACCACATCGGAGGAGTGCTGTTTGCTATCGAGGATTTTATAAGAAGAGGGTTACAAAATAACTCAGAGCCATTAACCTGCACATCGCGGCTCTCAGTGTGGGTGGTACCGCGCAATCAAAGTGTAGCAGCGAAGCCAATCGACAAAGTATTGATCAGAAAGATTCGATTCGGTAAGAAGAACCTAAGAACCCAGCCAAAAATAATAAAGTTTGATCCTAGGGCCCCAGACATGAGAACACGTGACGAGACTAGCTTCAAAAAACTCTGCGAGAACCTCCAAAACTGCTTGCCCTCAATTTCCTTCCTTCTCTTCCACGATATCAAATCTAAATGTAGAGGCATCACCTTTTAATCAGCCTCAAACAATGGACAGATCGATCCACAAGAAGTACCCTTTACTGACAATTATGACATTGCAACGCACAGGTTTAAAAGTATTGTAGATGAATATGTTGCAAATTTAACAGCCACCAGTGAAGAGATTATCAAAACTGAAAGGATGACAAGGGGTCAGAAGAAAGACCCCTTGTGGATTGAAAAATGAAAATCGCTTCTAACAGCTTCAAATTTCGGCAAGGCCGCCAAAACCAAAGTTGAACCTACAAAAAAACTTAAGGCAATGCTCTATTCGAATTTTACCGCTGAAGCTGTTCAGTATGGCTTAGAAAGCGAGGCAAAGGCTATAGCCCTCTATGTCAAGGAGATGGAGCAGGAAGGAATCACTGTTTAAGTGGATGAAGTTGGACTTTTGCAGTCTAAAGATAAGCCCTTTTTAGCAGCTAGCCTGGATGGAATTGTAACAAACCTAACTACCCAGGAAAAATGGGGGATAGAAATTAAATCACTATTAAACAAAGTGGGCATGAGAGTGGAAGATGCATGCAAAAGTAAAACCTTCTTTCTGAACTTAGTGATGGAACAATTAGACTAAAAAGAAACCATGATTATTATATTCAAGTTCAGGGCCAACTTTATGTTGCCAAAGACTTAAATATTGAAAGTATTCATGTTATTGTGTACTTTGGTGAGGAAATGCCTCTTTTCAAAGAGAAAATTTTTATGGAAAGCCTTCGCTGGAATCAAGAACTATTACCCAGACTTGAATTTTTTTTCAAAAGGGCTCTCTATCCTGAAATGCTAACCAAAAGGGTTGAAAGAGGCAAACTTTTGTACCTCCATGGAGGGTGGCAGCCATATGGGCAATATTCATGTTCAGCAAATGGA